AAAATAACTACAAAATATCTTTACATCGGATAATAAACACGACACGTGTAGAGATTTTAGAACTGATGCTAGCTCTTATTTTGTGATTACCATTGCCACAAAAAAACTTCTATTAAGTGATGCAAAAAGCTTTAGTGTTAAAAGGGCATGAGAGAGAGAGAGAGAGAGAGAGAGAGAGAGAGAGAGCTAGCTCTTATTTTGTGATTACCATTGTCATAAAAAGCTTCTATTAAGTGATGCAAAAAACTTTAGTGTTAAAAGGGCATTATAAATGAAGCAATTAAGGGGGGAGGGAGAGAGAGAGAGAGAGAAAGAGAGAGAGAGAGATGACTAGTCCACTCATTCCATGCTATGCACAGTAATATTTTTTACACATCAGGATAAAAAATTCATGAAATACTCAAACACAACAAAAAAGATATAATAATTCATCATGCATGAAATAAAGCACACATCAACTTAGTAGAGATGGCCTTGATCAAGATGTTATGTCTCACATCCATTATTGTTAGTAAATTTCAATGATAATTTGGACATCAACATAAGAAATACATTTGTGATTGCTTTTAATTATACTACAAAAAACAAAACATTTATATCTTAATTTTTTAATTTAATTTGCTCATTAGTATTAGGCTCAACTAGTTACATCAAATTAAAAAAAAAAAAAAACTCTTCTTTTTAAACTTTCTTCGAAAAATCTCTATAAAAATCTACCCTTTACTTAAGTTCCTAATAAAAATCAGGCTTTGATTGATTCATTCTTATCTTATTTTCCTAAGTTTTTTTTTTTAACTTTCTTATTATTAGACTCGTCAAGACCAACTTTTTCGAGCCAAATCTAAGTATGTAATGAACCAAATTAGCAATTTGATGATATGAAAACTTCTTCTTTTACTTGTTTTACTTAAATGTCTAATATGATTGTGATGATGTGGCCTATGAGAACAATATCTAAATATTTGATTTGATTCTACTGAACTATTTGCCAACAGTTGTATTGATTTTCTAGTCCCCATTGGTTTATTAAACCAGCCTCTACAGTATATCTTCTTGTGTAGTTTAATTTCCATAGTCTTGGATCAAATTTTTAATACCCAATGTGGGATCTACATCATGGACATGTAACCCTCTTCATTGCCATGTGTTGAGAGTGTGGCTATCCTCATCCATGCAAAATTTTAATATTTATGGAAATTAGAAATTATATAAATAAAAAAGGTAATGATTATAAATATTAAAAAAAAAAAAAAGATGTGTATGAAGCTTTTGACTTGTGTGTGTTTTGAGCACAGAGTAAAGTAAATTTAGGGGTTTTGAGAATTAAGATGTTTAGATGGGATGAAATTCAAATGCAAAGTCTTTTAGGTGCATTGGAAATCAATCTCTATTTCATTTTGAATGTATTTAGAATTCATCTATTTTCAATGAATTTCAAATAGACGATATAGGTAAAAGTTATGAAAGTCAACTATCGTATAGTGCTATCCATTGTCAATGTCGCTACCAAAACTTGTTTCCACCACCACCACCTATAGCCTTTGGCCACTGCCACCATTCACACCCACTGTCGACCGCCATTGCTGCCAGTCGCACATCCTAGATTGCTAGCTACCAGCATCTACCGTTCGTTGTCACCATCTTCATCATCCATTACCATTGATCAATTATTATTCTAGATATACTGCAATTTTATTTTGTATTTTCTTACTTCAAATCCAACAAAAATATAAGTAATCTCTTATATATACAGTATACTCAATCAAATAATTCAAAAATATTTACACTATAAAGCTACTTCAGAAAGTAATGAGAAAGCTGTCCCACGCACGGATTTTTATTTGGTCCGGTGCAAGGACCTAGAGGAAGGTTCGGTTTTGCCTAAAAAAGTGCAAATACCGAGTTTTTTGAAAAAATACCAAGTTTTTTGAAAAACTCGGTATTTGCACTTTTTGACCTATTTTTGCCTAAAACCGAACCTTCCTCTGCATCCAGTGAAAAGACCTAATAATTGCTCCCCACGCACAGCCTTAGTAGATGAAAAAAAAATGATCTCTATCATAGAAATTCTAAGAAATAATATGAATGCAGATTTAAAATGAATAGAGAGAGGAAGCAAAAGGTAAAAAAGGAATGGCGACACCAAAAATCTGAACAGCAAACAATAGAAAGTAGGGAAGGGTAAAAACCCAATGAAGTATGTAATGAAAATATTCATTGTGCAACGTAATAGTGGCTGTAACAAAGAGATTGTTTTAATAGAAAGCATAGAAGGATTGATCGCTAAGAAAATAACTTTGAAATAGTAGAACGAAGCAATCAACCAAAACAGAGTTACTGTCAATGGCAAATTCAAATGGGAAAAGCTCAATATTATAATGCATATCAGCCTATATTTATGAATATAAGAGAGCAAATTTGGAAACAAAAAAAAAGAAGGGGGTTGGTGGACATTAAAGAAGAATTCCACCTACTCATTTTTATTGTACTTCAAAGCGGCTAAATATTAAACTATCTTATTCGTTTCACTTGTATTTGAAATTATCATCATTGTAACCATACTGAGGCTGCGCTCCATATCTGAATATATATTTTTTTTTATGTGCCTAGCAGATTTTTTTATGATTTACTTTTCTTCAGATACGATTGCTGTGGTGGTTATATTCCATGTAGTGGCAACCATGGAGAGGAAAATTGCCAACAGTTTTTTCTCTGCACTGCCACTGAGGTAACCTGAATCATTTTATTAAGCTAAATTAATTATATTGTTCTTCTATGAGTCAGATTAATTTACAGATTATGGTTTTGAATAGAAATCATTTTATATTATATTGTTCATCTATGAGGTTTTGTCTATGTACTGAGCTTGGAAACTATTTATCAAGTCAACATATTTAGCACTAAAAGCTTTTCATGGCTCAATACAAGGGCAAACTGGACGAGAACATAGCAGTTGCACAATGAAACAGCTCAAACTCTTTAATTATTAAGATATTGTCCACATTGGCTTAAGAGTCTCACGATTTTATCCTATTGATGTAACTTCTTAGGATATTACCCATCCCAGAATTTCTCCGAGATGAACACACTTAACTATAGAATTTCTTAATGAAATTCTAACTATTAAATCAAAAAGAATTTAGATGTTTAAGAATTTAACTTCTTTTTACTTATAGGATTTTACACACAAGATTCAAATCGCTAATAAGTAGACAGAGCACATATTCCTTTCAATTTATTAATGCTGCAGCAATACAAGAGAGTTTAAACCATTTATTAGCTAACATGTCTAGACCAAGATTTTCCAGTGAGAAAGTTTGGAAAATAGGAAATATGGTGTGACCAATGTATTTGGCCGGCCTTCCATACTTAAAAAAAATGCAATACAATATTAATATTTGGATGATGTTGCAATGAATTTATATGAATATTTCATGCTTGCAATCATTATCCACCGAATTTAAACATATAAGTATGGTAGCCAAGAAGGTCACTTCTGATTAATTGAAATTTGTCTCACAGGCCTTTTGCTGCTTTGGCAACTTTGTTGCCTCTACACGATTTTTGCTTCAATATGAAATCAATATACGGACAACTCAATCTGATAACTGCATCGTTTTATGCCTTTGATGTTTCCTCCTTGTTTGACAACCCTACTCTGAGTTCTCTCCCTTAATTATGGTTTCTACACTCAGGGATTCATGCTCTGCCTTCAGCAAGTAGCATGCTTATTTTCCTGCATAGCCATGATTTCCGGAATTGATGAAATCCAGGTGCTTCTCAGATACTTAATTTTCTTTCTGAATTTGTTTAATGGACGTAAGAATACGATCCAATCAATCAAAATCAGTTTCTTTAGCCTTCAAGGATATCTAAACCATATTTTCTTTCCTCATTCTGTAGGGTCTGTGTACACATGCAGACAAGCATAAGAAAACACTAACTTTAAAATTGATTCAAATCATAAGAAAACTCTCTCACACACACCATAGTATCAAATAAAAATATACATACCTCACTTTCAAGCTCTCTCTCTCTCTCAATCTTTCTCACTGTCTCACCTCATCTCTCTCCCTCTATTCACTTCTCTCTCTCTCTCTCTCTTTATATATATATATATATATAATTTATTAATAAAAAAAATTGATAAGACATCAATATACTTCATATCAAACTTTATTTATGTTTTGGTTGCTCCATAAGTGCAAGACACAGCACAAGATTGAAATGGACGAGAAATGGAAAGATTGGGCTGTCAACGATGGTTCTTCCACATTCAGCAGATGTCTCAAATTGATCAGCCTCTGCCATCAACGGCTGGCTATCCTGCTTAACCTGGCTATGGGCTGCCGCCGCCACCACCACCAGCTCATGGATTGCCACCGATGGTTTATAAGCAGCTGTATCCGCCACCATATGGCTATCCTCCAGCTGGTGCCAACCCACCACCTAGTTATCTTGGAAATATGCTAATAAATAAATGTTAGGTCTAAGGTTCTGCATCATGTGTTTAATGTCTGATGAGCTAGTATACTGAGGCAATTCCTTTTAGATGATGCTTTATTGATTCACTCCCATTGGAGAGGATTTAGCAGGACTTTTCAATAACAATTAATATATAGACTCGGCAAAAGACTAAAGTAGCTTTCATTTAACTATGTAATATTGGACTTATTTGACTCTAGCTCTGTTTGCGTCAACAGTACCAGTAACTAGTTTTTATTTGTCTAACATAAAGTGGTATATGAACCAGCCAAACAGTGAGTACTATCGTCCTCTCATGGTAATTATCAAATCAAAGTCTTCTACTCAAGGAGTTACGACAAGAACTATGACATGCACGTTGAAAGGCCTTTTTTTTGTTTATGCAGGTATTTTTGGTGGGCGTGTTTGCGAGTAGGGGTTGGAATTGTTCTTGGTATATGTGTATCAATACTCAATCGTTCTTGTGGTTATGTCAACATTCAAGCGAAATATGGATTGCATAATAAATGTACAAATGAACATAAACAACAAAATTGATTATCAAAAGGATTTGCGAGAGTAACATTGCATTTCTGCGTTGCGATGACTATGACACTAAAGTGTGGGAGAATATAATTTAATCTCTTAAATAATGCAGAAGTATAACTACCTGCAAACCGTTCCCATAAGCGTATATTTACACTTGTCGACAGCTAAGCAATGCTTCGCAAAACTTGGAATCTGGGATAAATAAGGCTAGCTGTGGGAATGCATTAGTTGGAGGTCAGGCAGAAAATCAATGACAGTAGACTTGACCTGAATAGTGCTAGAACACCCAGCCAACTAAAGTAAAACCTGCATCTTATAGCAGTTTCAATAGTTCAGATTACTCCAATTGGTCACCGAATATGGGTTCTACCAAGAGAGAAGGCACCAATCTGGCTCTCAGTGTTCTGCAATCAAAATTAGTGTTACCACACATCAGGCTTTCTTATTTAGCAATTCATAATAGAAACAAACAAATAGCTGACTAACAAAAAGGATAGAATCCGAGTCATCAAATGATATAGAATGAAATCTATATAATGGTTTTGTGGAGCTTAAAACTGTTTAAGATTACCAAGGCTTAGAATATTAGCATCACAACAAATTATTTCATTAAGGTTTGAACGCCAAAAACCTGATATTTAGGCGATGGAAACACATTCCAAAATCTTAGCGTCTCATCTCCTGCACCAGTGACAATTGTCTGCAAAAGCAAACATTCAAGTAAAGGACAAAAAAAAAGAAGCAAGTAGTCATGCACCCAAAAACAGAAGCGAATAAGTTTAACCTGTCCATCAGGTGATATTGCCAGATATAACACTCTAAATGTATGACCGGTGAGGGTGGCAACCTGCAAAGGAGATGCATGTGAGTGAGATTAAAATTTTTTTAAGATTCATCAATAATTCGCTTCTCGGTTGGATTTTCAGCACCTTTGACATGGTTGGGTACCGCCAAATTATTATTTGATTCTGGGAATACCCATGGGTGCTCACAATCTCATTTACATTCTTTGACCATACAAGGTTGCATACCTGCATAAACATGATCCTTAGTCGTAAGAAAATCACAAATTTTTAACTTTCACAAGGAATTTCATTTCAAAAAATTGGCTTATGATTAACGCTGTAAGAACGTAGGTATCCAAGATACGTCATGAACAAAGCATAGCAAAAAATGGACATCTTAAACCAGAGAAATTTCTACCAAAACATTTTCGGGAGCACGTGAAATAATAATGAAAGAAGGCCTTGGATAAAGCTTAAACTTCCATAAAAAAATTGTAAATCAGATCCAGAAGAGGCTCACAAAGCACCGGATATAAGTCCCACAAAAAGAAAGAGCCCAAGACAACTAAAGTGAAATGTCGGGGGCCTTGGTGAGAGATCTAAGATCCTGAATGATGGCTGAAAATATATGAGACTGTTCTATCAATTAATCATGAGACCGTGCAACCAACGTTTTAAAAGGCGAAATCGGGAATCGAGGCGTTTTGGCTAAGCGAGGCGAGGCGTAAGCCTCGAGGCGGATCGAGGCATAAGCCTAAAAAATGATAAAAATAAAGTAATTAACAGTGCCGAGCATGTACCGCTCGGTACCGAGCATGTACCGCTCAGTACCGAGCGATACTGGCTCGGTACCGAGCATGTACTGAGCGGTACAAGCTACTCAATAATTATTATTAATACTATTAATTATATATTTAATAATATATATTTTAATTTATATTAACTAGGCTAATTATATTAATATTTAATTAATAATTATATTACTAATTAGTCAATTAATTTATGCACTAATTATACTATTAAGTATTTAATTAATTTGCTTAATTATTAATATTTAAATTATATTAATTAAGTTAATCAATAATAACTTAGCTGCGTCTAGGGTTTGCCTTTCATCTTCTCTTTTCGTCCTTGTTTTTCGACTTTGTTGCTTCATAGGAGGTGTAGAGATTACACGGGTTGCTTCTTTGGCTCCTTTGTGGTTGTTCGACTGCGCTCCTTCGACGACTTTCCCTTCCTGTAGGATCATAAGTTACGACATTTTGATAAGAAGAAATAACGGGAGCTCGTTGGCTCGCTGGCTTTGAAGGTAACTTTCTCCCTTTTGAGGCGCTGCCTCGATGCGCCTCACGTATTGAGGCATACGCCTCCGTGGAAAAAGGCGTAAGCCTCGCCCGGACGTTCGAGGCTTAAGCCTCAGTTCGCCCGACCTCCGCCTCGATTCGAGGCGCGCCTCGAGGCGTCCGCCTTGAACGCCTTTTTAATCGATGCGTGCAACTAAAGAATATGTATAATGAATGCAATAAAGTTAGCAAGGATGAGGCCTCTCTACCAATAATGAAGATGTCATTCACAAAGAAAAAGCAGGAAAAGTCATGACAATTTATCTATCAACTTAAATTGGTCAAGGTGAATCTTCTCATTTCTGAGATGATACAAGATCATGAGGATCTATCCACCACCATCTTAATTGGTTTCTTTCAAACAAATAATGTCTACCAATCTTTTTCCTTGAAAAAAAAAAGAAGCTCATAAGCATGAAACTCTTTCCTTCATCAACAGGCAAACAATGAGAGTAGACGATATATAACATCAATCCTTTTATTCTTTTTAAGAAGTAAAAGTGCCAATTCTTGGAGAATGTACATCATATTCATAGGAATTATTTTTTGCATTATCTATTATATTTCTACCCTTGATCCAATTCACAATTGATCTGGACTTTGGATCATCTTTGTAAGCTTGAAGTCATCCCTTTATGTTTAGGGATATGATGTAATGTATTTAAGAAGCATGAAATTCTCTCTGATTAATTGTCAAACCACCTCCATTACAAAATTCCCTCCTAGTTGTCCCCATCCAGAAACCCTGATTCGCACCTTATCAGAGCCTTAAGAGGTTGCTCTTGATGAAAGAAACTCTCCTTATCGAACTTCTTCCATCCGATCTCCTTTCCCTTAGATTTGGCCAAGGGAATCCCGATCAAATCTTGATTAGGGTTAGCAATTGGAACCATTGATGGGTTTTGGATCGCATCTCCATGAGATTTCTCATCATCTCCTCCATAATTTTCTTTCCCTTTGGATCAGTCATAAGAATCGCCGGTGAAGCTTTTGAGTGCATCTCGATCATTTTCTTCATCATATCTTCCAAGTTTTCAAAGAAGATCTTTATGGATGAGAGAGCTTTTCATCCATGGTGGAAAACTTCCCTTCGATGGTTGTCCTACATCCAGGATTTGATTTGCTCCCCTTTGCCTTCTAACGCATCCACCTTCTTTGATGCCATCTCTCCAAAACCTCACTCTGATACCAATTTGATGCGTCTTGAAAGTAAAAAACAACAAAAAAAAAAGAGAAGAACATCATAGGAACACAAAGATAGGGTTGATTCTCTTATTTCTCCTTCAATAATAAAGCAAGATATAATTAATCTACTATTCAAGAAGCAGATCAACTCTCCCACAACCCCTAGATTCTACTAGGAACTCACAACAAATCTTAGGAAAATAAACTCAGCAATGTCATACCCTAAGCCTTAGACAACTCCCCCTTAAATAGCTTTAAACAATTAAACATAATTTCGGAAACCTTCATAAACAATTAAACATGATTTAGGAAATATTCCTAAATAATTAAACATGATTTAGAAAATCTTCCTAAATAATTAAACATGATTTAGAAAACTTTCCTAAATAATTAAACATAATTTAGGAAACATTCCTAAAAAATTAAACATATTTTAGGAAACATCCCTAAGTAATATTAATTCAAATTGGAATCTTTCACTAAATACTTTTCTCCTTATTCCTCCTAACATAATGAATCATAGCTTTGCTAGCCCCCACAAGGGGGGGGGGGTGGCAAATTTTCCTTGTTTTATGCTCCAGGTTCTGCCCAGCCGGATGGCTGGTTCGATCCATGCTGGATAGGAAACATTCCTAAAAATTTTAAACATATTTTAGGAAACATCCCTAAAAAATTAAACATATTTTAGGAAACATCCCTAAGTAATATTAATTCAAATTGGAATCTTTCACTAAATACTTTTCTCCTTATTCCTCCTAACATAATGAATCATAGCTTTGCTAGCCCCCACAAGGGGAGGGGGGTGGCAAATTTTCCTTGTTTTATGCTCCAGGTTCTGCCCAGCCGGATGGCTGGTTCGATCCATGCTGGACTAGATGGCTTGGCTGGTCGCCCCCTCCAATCATATCACATTCTTATTAACTTAGTATTTTATGGATATCTTATCAAATCACATAACTTCTCTGTAACTTTTTTCTCCCTCTTTATGTGTTTTGCTTAATCTCGATATGAAAATGATAATTGGTGTAGATGTTGAAGTTGGATCTATATACTATTTCTTTGATGCTACATCCGCTACTCTCTACTTACCAATGCCATATTTTCTCAATCATCCTCTTCCTCACCATCATTAAGGGTTCAATCATCTTCCCTCTATATTTATGTATGAGTGTAAAGAATACAAGTATATTAAACACCATCATGTCTCTTCTCTAATTTCAAAATCATCCTTATAGGCAGACTCTCTTTGATTTTGTACATTCAAATGTATGTGTAAATCCTATCTTAATAAATTTGGGGTTTCTTTACTTTTTATTTCATTGGCAACCACACTAGAGTTCTTTCGGTATACTCGTTATAAAGTATAAAGTCTTTTGATATCTTCAAACAATTTTATTTAAAAAAATAAATGTTCAATTTTTTACTTCTCTTGAATTTCATAGTTCCAATAATTCTCCTATAATCCAATTTTTGTTCAATTAGTTTTGAAAATTATAATATACATCAATCATCTTAGACTTATGCATCCCAACAAAATGATGTAATTGAAAGTAATAACTAATATCCCGATCTTGTCCATTGTCTAAAATTGCGCAATATGAGGCTCGTCTCAGTGCAATTCAAGTGACAAAAGCTTCGAGGCTTATGCCTCAAACTTTATTTACGAGGCCCACCTTGAGGCTCGCTGACATGAGGCTTACGCCTCACCCAATTTATATATTTCTTTATTAAAACTTATCTAAATGCAAAACTAAAACCCTGAACAAATCACGCCTTCATGAACCCCCAAGCCGCAACAACTTTCTCTCGACTGCCTTGACATCCACTCTTCATTTTCTCCGCAGCCACCACCGTCGTAGCTGCCACTAGGGATCACTTGAAAGGTGCTCACCACCACCACCTCCTCTAAAAATTTTGGAATATTAATCCCATCATTATGTTGATGAAAAAAATTTATAAATAGGGAGATAATTGAAATAGATGATGAAGAAGTATGTTGGAAGCCATTGGACTCCACAGGATGAGGCAGGAGAGAGAACAATTTATTATGACAACAACTCAAATAAAGAACCCTTTAGTGATGACAGTGCATATAATTTCTAAGTTTTCACCAACTATTTCAACTTTCTTTATGAATTAAATATGGATGAGTAGTGAATTGAGAAAGAAGGAATTTAGAGTTTAACTTGATGTTATATGATACTTTTATGCAATTCCTATATTTAATATTGTTTTGTTCTTGTAATATTTAGATTTCAATTCTTTTTCATGTAATTTATCAGTTGTAACTTTACATCTTGCACCATTTCTTATTTCATATGTATATCAATTTATTACTTCATAGTTCAATAGAAAGTTAACATGTCATCTTTTAATCTATATATTTTTTATTATATAAAAAATCATTTTTAACCTTTATTTTTTACTTTACATAATTTTTTTTATTTTGAGGCTTATGTCTCAAAACGCCTTGAGGCTTACACCTCGCCTCACGAACAAAAAATGCCTCAATACTTAATTGTGCAATTTTAAACCATGATATGGCCGGTACTTTCATGTTTCACATGAGCATTCAATGAGAGTTCTAAGGAGATGTCATTTTAATAATCTATTACTTAAGCAACCATGTCCTTCACAAGTCTAAGTTTAGCCTCTTACTCTTTTTATCTAGAATTTTTTTATTTGAGCTATTAAAGTTTTGGTCATTTATTTCATCCACTCTTTTATTCTGGAAGGGATGAACTCTCACTATGCTATTAAACGAATCTACCTAGGTTTTTACCATGCTCAAAAGGTTATCATTATTTTGGCCCCTCTAACAACTACTTTTCATATCTCCACAAATATTACATTTTGTGAAAATCCTATCACTATCCTTCTCTCTCTTTCACTACAAAATGAGTTTTAAGTTATCATCTTCCACCTCTTGCTCCTACTCCACTACATGTTTATTCTCATTAACCACAATAGCTCTCTTTGATAAACGCCCAACCATTCAATCATCTATAGCCTCTGATCTTCATTTCTCAATTACACTTCTGAAAGCTATATGACACAATACACACACCAGATTTTTTTTTTTACCTCAATCATTATCCTCCTTGTTTCATAGCTTTGCCTTATCTTTATCTATTACTTTCGTTCCTAGGGCGTATCAAGAAGCATTGCTCGATCCTAAAGGTGTTAATTCAGGTTAATGAATCAAGTTCACTTCTAAACTGAATTTGACCAAACATGAAATTGCTTGACCCTAATTGCCCCAAACCCAACTCAACACAAACTACCTTGACAAGAACACCACGCATGTGACCCATTTATCATATGGTTCATACAAATTTTCTATGTCAACAAAATCCAATTAACTGGAATTTGACCAATTGAGGTGAAGGAGTTGTTATTTAGTAAAAAAGGTGATGTATTTTAGACCTGAAAAAATAAAGAGGTTATTCTCAAGATGATTTTGGATTTTCAGGTCAACCTGACTCAACTTGAATATTAAACTAGTCGACATTTTAAACCCGAACTATGGATCAACCCAAATCTAGATTATTTGAGTCAGGGTTGAGCAAGTCAACTGAAACTAGGGCTAATAAGCTTTTAGCTCGAAGATCAAAGTTTGTTCAAATATTGAGTCAATTTTTGGCTCGAATCAAGCCAAATGAGCCAAGCTATAAGCCAATTTGTTTGCTTGATTTGATTTCAAGATGTAGATGGATCAACTCAAATAAGTTCAATTTCGAATAAAAAAATTTTATTTATTTATAAAATTTACTTTTTATTTTTATATAATATATTTCTGTAAAATTCTAAATGAAAGAGTCGTTTGCTCGAGTGGTATACCATGTGGCAATTAAGACCATTCAATTGTTTGAATTATCCTAAGTTTGAAATCAAAAGGCTAAACAATTCTTTTAGTTTTTAGCAATTAATTTCAAGCAGGCTCAATCAAACAAGCCAACTCATTCCAATTTCAAGTCAAATTAGATCGAACAACTCCATTCGAGATAACTCAAAATTAAAAATGAATTGAATTGACAGATTCACTTCTGGTTTGAGTCAACTCAAAATTGAATGAATCAGGCCACAATTCAATTTCGACCTTAGCTCCAAGTCATAGGGCGGGGCCGATTTCAAGCCGACCTTGAATTTGCTCGAAATTGGATCATTCATAGTCCTTATTAATACCACTACTCATCTTAACTGAAAATATGTAATAGATATTGAAATGGGGGATCTCCTGATTATCACCTAAGATCTAATTTCATCACCCACTAGTGTGAGACCTATTTCTTATTAGTGGATTCATGATCAAGTTTCATCCAAATGGTATTATTTATCATTATAAAGCTTTCTTGGTGGTCAAAGGATAAATACAAATTCATAAATTTGATTATTTTGAAATCATTTTCCTAATGGATTGGTTAATATAAGTTTACCTCCTCTTCATCATCATTAATCAAGCGTGTTCTTTATTCTAAATGAATGTGAGCAATGACTTATAAGAAAAGCGAGCGGAGGCCGGGGCCGAATTTTCGGAGCCCATATCTTTATTCTAAATGAATGTGAGCAATGACTTTCTTTTTAGCAATCTCGCTAAAGTCAAATGGAGCAACCTCTCAAGCATGTTGCTGAGAGGAAGAAAAACATTTCTAAACTATGAAAAGATTGTATGGATTGAAAGAAAGTCTCATGTCTATTTTAATAAACTTTGCAAGGTCCTACTTGAAGTCAGCTTATAAAGTAGCACAACTGATCACTCTATCTTCACCTATTACTCATTCTTTGTGACAATGATCCTTGCGATACATATTGACAATATTCTTTCTTAATTGAAGTGATATCTCTGGCATTGGGTTGGAGAAATTAATTAATACCTTCAAAGTATATATTTTTATAAAAAACTTGGTAAGTAAAATATTTTCTTAGCTGCCCAAAGTGTTGGCTCACACAACTTAGAAATGCAAACTCATGCTAAACAATATGAGGGATGAATGACTAAGTGGATGTAGCCTATCTATCATTCATCAAATCCAAATGTCTAGACGTGATCAGAACACTTACATGATAACCCAGCTATCTAGAACATGTGATTATGATGTGCTAACTATCCTTATTAAGGATTATTCATTGTATGATCACCACGATGATGAGAAGAGCTAAAACACTTGCTTCTCATTCATCATTTATGTATGTGATTATAATATGCAGTCGATCCTTCATTATAGATGACCACCGACAAGCTCATCAACCACTTGCTCGATGTTATTGTTGTTCTTGAGTACTCCACCCAAGCGACTTTAATAGTCCTCAGACTCCCATTAGGAATTACCAGTAGTGACTTCACAACTGCAACTCTGGCCACCTCGATAGAAAAAATACTTGCCTTCAACTAGTCAACTTCGAAAGAGAAAAGCTAAACCACCTGCACTTTTCAGCATTCTTCGACAACCACACACAAGTCCTACATTTGTTGAGCCACCTAACTGCATAGGTGCATCACAACCCTCATATTTTTTTATAGAATTTGAGAGTCAAACAGATCAGCATCTATTAAGGGGAAAAAAACAATTCAAATTTTAGACCTAAATTTATAAGGATTTAGTCAAATAAAACCTGCCCTAAATAATATTTTTTGTTTTTGTATAATCTAGTTAAATAACCATCGTCTAATGATAGATTAATGCCTTGAGAAGGTCAAAACCACCTAGGAATTGCAAACCAAGTGCTAAATCACCTTCTAGTTGCCAAACAAGAATTTGAGTTGATTTAAGCTCAGGAATTCTAAAGGCACTAAGTCAACTATTAAAGCATGCTTTCAAGAGTACAAATTTGGATCTGCATCACTTCCTAAACTCATTGACTAACTCTTTTGTTTATTTATATTTCCAGAATGTTATGTTAAGGAGGTACGAGATTCTCTCGCTAAGAATCATCCATTTGTTTAACCTTTTTCTAGCTTTACTAGTATATGTTTTAAATGGCTTATTAGTGATAAGATTTCCTTTGACATTTAAGCCCAGTAAGGACCACCGGCACAAGGTAAAAAACTTTGTTCTAGTCTTGCATGCTATGATCTTTCATTTATTGTTGTGCTACGCTTGTAATTTTAGAAGCATGATAACTTTAAAGAGAAGCAATCTTTTCTCATCATGCTCTTCAAAATACTCTAATTTCTTGCTGATAGGAGATAAATTCAAAGGATTACCCTCAAAAAAAAGTTTCCAGGTGCCCATCTCATGCTTGTATTATTAAGTTGATGTAAGAGCCACATCAAGAGGATTATTAGGTGCATGCTGATGTTTAGTCTGTGCCAAGAAGAAATTCTCCCACACAAAAGGATTATTGTGCCCTTAGAAATAAATCCAGGGATTACTCTAAAGCTTTTTATGTTAATTTTGGTAACAGCCACATTAATATTTTGGAAGGAATTCTTTTACTAGCAATATTAAATGGGATTTATCATTTCTCTCTCAAAATAAGATATAAATGAAAAACAATATCGCAAAAAGAGAAAGATTCTCTGTTTTATTGTCCTTTGTGGAGTCATCTCAGACTTTTTATAGAAACAGCATTGTCGCATCTTTTACATTTCATAAGGTTAGGAAGAAGACTGAATAAGACATAAAACTTAATAAAAATAAGCTTTATATAAAGAGGCAAATAGTTTTCTTGAAAAGGACACGTGCGAGGAGACTACCAAACAAATAAACTATAAATTAAAGGGAATCAAATTCATAAGAAACAAGCATGAATAGTCAAAATTAAAAAAATAAAATAAATAAATAAATAGAACAAAGTTGAAAATGACAATGCAACAGCATGGAACATCTAGTGTATATCTATTTTTAAATGAAATGAATATATGAGAAAACTTATGCAAGTAAAGAACATGGGGATGAAGTTAGTATCTGATTGGAGATTGCAATTCAAGCAATAGAGTTAAATAATTGGTGATGTTAGCAATTTAGAAATTCTAATTGGCTAAGGAGTACAATGAAAAAGAATGAAGGTCATACGAGATAGATCTAGGTATAAACACTTTCAAAGTAATTTTATTATTAATAAATTAGGCATTAGAAAAATCTAAATCAAACAAATTTGGGAAGATTATTTGATGCAACAGAATATGAAGAGCCAACAAATGGCATGTTGTACAAGCACAATAAATTTTACAATACGTATAAAATACAAAATACATCAGAAAACCAAACCACGATATATTAAAGACATGTTTGAAGCAATTGTAAAGTTAGTTGGGTAGAATTCCTCAATTTTTAAAACTTTTGCTATTTCAACTACCGGATGCTACTAGTGGAATCCAGAACTCTCACTGGGACTGAAGATAATCATTTAAAAATACTAAAAATATTTCAATTTTCCGTTTAATTAATTGAAAACATAACTAGCTACCTGACTTCCTGTATCAATGCAGTTCAGGTTAGAGTTGGCTGTGGTATTCCAAAACCGAATGCATCTATCTGCGGTTCCTCCTCCGGATGCTAGAAGACCATGGACATGTGGAGACCATGCAATAGCTTTGACTGCTGCTTTATGTTCGCAATACTTGAGTACAGGCTGGTTTGAATGCTGGTTCCAAACAAAAAGCTGAAAGAAAAGCCAGATTTGATGATATAAAATAAATAAAGATGTAGTGCTCCAAGGAAGTGTTTAAATGAGTAAATGAGAATGAGAGGAACTCACCCTATTATCATTTCCACCAGATGCCAGCTGTCGATTATCATAAGACCACTTTAGCCCACAAACCTTCACAACAAAAGCAGCTCCTAAGAAAACAAAAAACTCCAATGGCAAAAATTACAGAGGAAGTTACAGCTCTTTCTTTAATTTATTCAATAAAATATCGGCATGACATGCCATGGTTTGGAAGAAAGATAACAAAATATTACTGGAATCATGTCACTTCATAAAAAATCATAACAAATAAACAAGCAAAACTATTTAAAAAACATATGAACAAGGACTAAGCAGCTTTCATTACCTCTGATTTATGTCCTGTTAACTTGCTAACAAAATCATCCTGTGTCCGAATATCACGCTGAAGAATGCTCTTATCGCGGCTTCCTGAAGATAACACAGAGGAACTCCATGCTAGAGCTCCAACGCGAAGACGATGACCCTCCATAGTTCTTATCCTCCGACAGCGTGAGGCATCCCATATCTATGCCAATAGTATTCATTGTTTGTATTTATCTTAAAATATTCCAAAATTCAACAAAAAAAAGTACTGCAGCCACTGAGCAATAACAAAGGCATCGTAGAAGAAATAGTCTAACTAAAAGTAATATGATATACAGTAAAGATGATTTCAACATTAATAAATAGTTTTATAAAAATAAGCATATATAAGATGCACAATTGAGAAAAAAATGATTTCATACAATAAAAAATCACAATGTAGGCCAGCTAGTTGAATGTAAAGCATAAATGCGAGCCTTGTTATTCTGAAAAAAGCCTACACCAGCATTGATGGATTCAGTTTAATTTCTCAGCCAACCCCGTGGTAGCAATTTAGAACCTTAAAACTCAACTTCCCATCCTTCAAGAATGGCAGGAAATTTCATAAATTATATAGGATATAATATTGAATCTTTATGACAAAAACAGCAACAAATTGTTATGAATTGTTTAGAAGAACTTCATGCCATTGATATGGCATCTAAAACATCCAATTCATCTCCTTAACAAACATGAAAATTTTAAGGCTCCACGGACCCCTAAGGGCATCTCCAACCGAAAAACTCATTTTTCACTCCAAAATGCAGTAACTTGACTCCAATCGAACTTCATTTTCTAACATAAAAAAAGAATATTCCTAGCATATTCTTTTTCTTATTATTTATAATATAAATTTATATTTAAACATTTAAAATTAAAAATCAATTATATATTAAAAAAATGGCGGATGAACAATATTGGCGTCGCACTGTTCATCCGCATATGAATGCCGGCGAAACTGACGTTCGGTTGGGAGGATGGCGGAACTGCAAACGCGCATTTGCAGTATGGCTGGAGACGCTCTAAAAGCAAAATGCCATCATACTGGGATCACTTCATCATTTTGACAAAAAGTATCATGATCCTATTTTTCAAATAACAATTAAGATGAAGCAGGACAAAAAATAACAGATGCCGTTATAATAAATTGATCCACTTTACAAGTTTGATATTACGGGTAATTCCATAAATATTTGGATTAATGATGCATGCAATACTTCAATCAATGACTTAGAAGCCACATAAATGGTTATTTGGGAATTAAACTATAGGAGTGTGCGTGGAACAGTTATACAAGATCCAATGCACAGTCTACAATCCAATATTAAAAAATCGATACGCATCATCATAATAGAGTGACTTCATTTGCCCTAAACGCCATCCGCTAATCAAGTCAGAAGTTTCAGAGAACTAACCTGCAGTTTCCCAAGACTCGTTCCAACAGCCAAATGAGTGCCTCGTTGGGCCCACCCCACCGAACAGACACTGTCATCCACACCGAAGTCACATAGCTTCGTAACCTATCATTCGCATAACATCAAGCAAAAATTCAGCAAGGCATTAAGGCTCTGTATGATTTGATGAAATTATTAGAAATGAAATAAAAAGGAAATGTTGACAAAAAATATGAAGGAATTGAAAAAATTGCTTTACTCCCACTTGTTTGGTTGAGGAGAATTTCAGTAAAAAAAACTTTTTTTTTTCTTTTTTGTTTGACTGAGGAGAAATTAACAGTTTCTCATAGAGTGGGTAGGTGAGTCACGGTGCTGAGCAGTTTTTTTTTTCACAAGGATTAGATATATAATTGTAAATTGAAACGTGCATTTGATCACATTTTTTTTGTAAAATGTTAGAGAAAACAGCGAAATTTGCTACTTTCCTCATTTGGTTGGATCCAATTAGAAACCAACATTCGACTTTAAACTCCACAAACTCTCTCGGACTTCATTTTTATGAGTGAAAACAAAATCATCATTTTTCAAAACATGATTTCAATTTACAAGAAAGTAAACAATACCTTAGGTAAATCAAATTTGTGACATCAAAAGCAAATAGCCAAAATATAACTTTAAAGTAAAACTGATTTATATTCCCCCAACTCCTTCAGATCAGACGGCAACTCAATCCACTAGGTTAAGCGAGAATTCAGAACAACATGCTACCTTACTGCTGCAGGCATTCCACAGATAAACGCAATTGCCAAGTCCCACAGCCAAAACATTGTGGGAAGACCAATCAACTAGGTTGAGGTAGAAATCATCCTGCAATGCAGGAGCATCGAGTACCTAACCCACAAATCAAACTCCATAATGTCGTAAAACAACAAAAATCCCCAGATCCATTAACAACCACTAAATCCGCACTAACCTTGTAAGGCGATTTCGAGACCTTCCTGCTCGCCTTAGGCTGGCTTGGAACAACTCCAGGAAGGGCATCATCAAACCCCGCAGAATAAGCAGAATACCGAGGAACCTCAGCCTTAAACCTAAAAATATTCCTTCTCGGAGTCGAAAATGAGGTTGAAGATGCCGATGAAGGAGAAGATGAGCACCGATCGGGAGTCTCCGGCGGCACAACGCCGTGATCTGATCCAAAGATGACGCTTCGGAGAACCGCCGTGTATGCGCTGGAGCTAGATTCTTTTCCTCCGTCACCGCCGATGTCGAAAAGCGCAAAGTTGGAGCCGAGTCGGCTGGGAATGAAGCGATCACTGTAGATGACGCGGGAAGAGGGGGAGGAAGAAGGGGAAGAAAGATGAAGGCGGTGAGGTGGGGTGTTGAAGAGCAGGTTTCTTCTGGAAGCTGATAAAGGTTGGTTGGGCTTTGAGGAGGAAGAAGACGAAGTGGATTGAGGGTTTTCGGCTGGAGTTGAGGGAGACGCCATTGATGAATCCATTCGCCTCGTCCCGCTGTTTGGGTTTCCCGGATTTTCTTTGTTTCGGTTTGTTGCCATATATATGTACCCGAATCGCAGATTGGATCCAGGATTCCAGGTTCGAAGAGTCGCCGCCGAGCAAGTGGGAAGTGGGACCCACTATTTACCTGTTTACGACCCGGTTAGATCTCGCAGGTGAATTATTAGGTAACGAGGGTAAAGCACGACACCCAAATATACTATTTTCACTTGAAAAAAAAAAACCCTCAAAATTAGAAAATTTTTAAAATTTTTGTACTTAAAAAGTTATTTTAATAAGCACTAAAAAAATCATCTCAAATGAAGTCTAAGATTTTATCTGAAAAATTTTCTTGTTATTTTTTAAAATAGTTTCTTAACACAAAAATTTATTTAAAATAATAAAAAAATAATGATTAAAAACTATTCCAAATAAAACTTCAATAAGATAAGCACCAACAATAAAAAAATATATTTTAGGGCAACTATTTTTATCATAGTAGGAGGAGAATGATCTTGAAATAAAATGCCACAAAGTTCCTTATGATCTATAATATAAGATTACTTGTGATCAAATTTCACTAATTTTTATAATAATTTAATTATTTATTTAATATGTATAAATTAATTATATACATATGTTATATTGTTCAATTCAAATTTGTTCATTGGTAAAAGTAAAAGTCGTACTAACAAGTACAAAATAAGCTTGATTAGAGAAAGAGAAAGAGAAAACAATTCAAGAGAAAGGCCTGAAGAACTTTCCTCATAAGCTCTTTTCATTTTTTTTTTAATGAAGTCATTTTAGTATTGTAAATGTACATATTATTTTACCTTCTTCTTGCTTGGTTTTTTGTTAAGTTACTAATACATTAGAATTTTGATAGGACTTCACTAAAGTAAGAGAGAATATGTTATTATATAAATAGGAGTGAAGGAAGCCTTATATTTGGGATATATGACTAAAGTCTTTTTCTATATTTCCATATTTGTTGGGGCCAGAATAGACCCCAAAATATTTATTAATTAAATTGTAGGTGATTTAAGCTCACTAAAAACTAAGTATCCTATAAGTTAACAACAAGATGTAAGGTTGTTAGCAACTCACCATTGCCTTAACAATTGGTCATTAAAGCTTAATGTGGGATATTAACCAATTTGAAAAAAAAAAGTAACTTAGATTTTATCACTTTGAGAAACTACTTTTAGTGTTAAAAATATCTTATTACTTGGACATGGTCCATTAGTTTGTTAGTGACTAGCCATAAACTCTAAAAGTGTTATATTGCAAATTGGCCTTTGCGTCATGCACTTTCATAAACTGGCCACATCGTTGGGTTACAAGTAATTGATCTAGTAAATTTGTTTTCAATATGGCATTGATTTATTTTTTAGACTAGGACTATTCTTGCACTAACTTAGCTTGACCTAGCTCCTTAGCAGATTTCAAATCAATGTGACACTAACCAAGTTTCCCTTAAGTGGATAAACAACATACCAAACTTTTATTTGAATAAATGCACTTATTAATTCAACTTTAGCCTACTAGACCCTAAGTGGTTCGTAGATCCCAAACTAACCCTAAAACTTCTAATAGAGCACAAGTTATTATGTGTACTCGACGAATATTTGAAACGTTAGAGTAAATGACTTAATCCTATGTGCCTAGATTAATTATTTTTATCTCTTATGATACTTGACCCATTAAGCTTATGTAGCTTTATTTCTTAAACTAGACCTCCATAAACTATTTCAATTGTTAGGCTAACTCATAATTAAGAATCATAGCCTAAATAGCTTAATTGACCTATAATATCAAACTCAAACTAACTAACCTATATTATGCACAACTTAGCTTAAGGTCAATTAAAACTCAAATTGATCTCACCTTAGTCATAAAACATGCACTATAACTTAAGAGAAACTCTCTCACCCTAGCTTAATTAACCCATTTGGACCAGTTGAGCATCAACCATTAAAATTTATTTAAATTAAACATTAGGGCACGTCTATTTGAATTTAGAACTCCCTTAAGTTACTCTAGACTATACTTAATGCATTTTATTAAATATTGAATTAACTTAGGTAGCCCTTTCAATTAATCCTAGGTTACTTGACCCTAATTAATCCAATAGACTTACTAGACTCTGAAGAGCTCAATATATCTTAATTATTCCTAATTGAACCTTAGACTCCTTAATTTAAAACCTAAGACCACAACTAACTCTAAATTGCTTGGCCTTGTCTAAACCTAAGATGGCTTGATCCAAGGTTAACCCAAGTTAAAATATTTGAGCAATCACCAAAATTCACTTAATTGCCACCTCAATTGTGTACGTAGCGAACATTGGTTGCCACATAGCTAGCTGTAAACCTTAATTGAACCCAACCTGAAACTTGTAGACCTAAATTGATCCAAATCCAAGTCCAATAGGGAAGGGCTGAGTCAATTTTGCATGGTAATGGCTGCACCATTCCATTCCAAAGCTTCTCTAAGAAATCATAACCTTCTAAATTACTTAATTCAAATGCTAGTAGGTTATTAATCTTTGGCATCGGCCCTTTCCACATCAATCATGCTTAATAGAGACCAACATCATTAATTAGAGCACCTAACGTGAGGGGTGGAGGCACCCAATAGCTTTAGCTACAATAGCTTACGCTACTTAGGTTTAATTTGGAATAGCTTTCTTATCACTTTCTAAAGCATTTTTTTAGTTCAAAAAATTTTTATGTGAAAAAGTTACTTTAGAAAGTTGTTCCAAACGAAACCTTAATAAGCTCTATTGGCCTTCTCTCATTCATAATTGGCGTCACTGTCGGTCCAACCCAAGAAATTACGAGAGTAGGCATTTGAGAGGAAGAGTGTGTGTTACCTCATTCCAATGCATGTGATAATAACTAGAGAGTTCCCAAAGCTTCTCTTTATCTCTTCACCCCATCTTAAACCCTCCCAAAGCCACTAATCATCATGAGAAGACATGGTATTTTGACTCTAAAATTACTAAATTCATATTATAACTAGGGTGTATTTGGCTGCCTGCAAAGGAAGTGTAAATATTCCAAACACAAGGATTTTGAAAATATTGACGTTTGATTTGAAGTAAAATAAATGCAGTATAAAATTTTGGTGCATTTGGAATTCACCGTCTAATTCATTTTTGATGTATTTAAAATTCCTCCAATTTGGGAATACACTAGAAATTCATTGCAATTATGGAAGCCACGCATTGATTTCCAACCTCCACTATCCACTGCCACAACCATCACCACCACCTGCCACGCACCGCAGGCCACCATTGTCACCAGCCATCACCCGCTGCCGGCTGCCACCTGCCACCACCTCTGTCGACCATCCACCACTTATCAATTACCACCGGCCACACCATCACCAATGTCAGCCACTGACCACTACATTTTTGCACTTTATATTATATTCATTTTACTTTAAACTAAACAAAAAAAGATAATCTCATGCATTCCTAGCCTTTTGCAATCATCAAATCGCTCAAAAGTATTATTTCTACACTACAATCCTTTTTCAGCAACCAAACAACTCGTTAATTGATCAAATTATTTTTTTGAATTTTTATTATGTTTGATACTTCACCAAAAAATAGTCTCGATCAAGCACGAATCTCGAGGCAAAATCAAGTTGGAAACTTCAAAAATTAAATCATAGACAATCTGAATTCTGATTTTAGCAAACTTATAGTCGAATTGAGCGTCTCGGAAACATGAACCCAACGACACTAAAATCAACCCAATCCGAGCCCAAATGAGTCCAAATCAAAGTCTCGAAGCACTTTTGGAAGGATCAAACCACAATTTGGATTACCAAAAGGTCTTCAATCGTGACATGCTTATGATCGAATCGAGCGGCTCGATGAGATGAATCCAACAAGCCCAAGATCATCAAATTATGATATCATTAAGACAGTCAAAGGTCCATTGAACAGTACATGATCGTAGGAATCAAAATCGGTCGTCTATTCGAATCATTCCCAATTTATCCTTGATCTTCCACTTATTTATAATCCATGCCACTCGAGAATTCTATAAATAGAATCTTATTTCCTCTTGAAATGGGGGGAGGAAGCCAAGAGAGAAGAAGAAAGAGAAGGAAGAAAGCTCCAGCTGCCTAGCTCATCTTCGACCACCGGCGGAGTTCTGCCACACCACTGTCGGAGTTCTGCCGCACCACCGCCGGACCACCAAGGGACGCCGGAGTTTTGTCGAACCACCATAAGACCATTAATTAAAGGACGTCAAAGTGCCACCCAAAGCCGGAGTACCCCTTGACGCTGAAGTGTTACTGCCAAGCCACCGCCTGACACCGGAGTGTTGCCGGACCACCACCTGACATTGGAGTGACGCTGGACTTTTGCAAAAATTTTCAGTTGACATTTGTAATATGGTCGTCTTCAAGGATGAGTCAGACCATTATACTTTACTCAAATTCTAGTGTAATCATTTTCACCTAGGCTAGGCCCCGTGGTTTTTTCCCTTTTCCGGGTTTTCCACATAAAAAATATTGTGTTCTCTGTGTGTGAAGCTAGATATCCGTGCAACACTAAGACGTGGAATTATAACTCTATCGCCGCGTATATTCTAGCCGGCAACAATGTTTTTATATGATTTTTGAGCGGTCATATAAACCAAGATTTATGCGGTCTTCGTATTATGGGAATCATCTCATCAAATCGGTCTTTCTGAATAATATAAGGACAGGTGCAGAATAAATAAACTTGAGCATTTTAAGTCCCAAAATAGCTTCAAAATTTGCTTCGTATTTGATGATATTTTTATAATCATCATATAATCGGTCATTAATTCTGAGTAATATATATATATATATATAGAGAGAGAGAGAGAGAGAGAGAGAGAGAGAGAGGGTGAGAGAGAGAGAGAGAGAGATGAGAGTGAATGACTTGTGTTTCTATTCAGCCATATATGGTCTTCACTAAAGAGATTGCAAACTGTATGTAGTCTTCATGAGGAGACCATAACCTTTGTCAGGGAAAGATCCCATGAGAAGTCAGCAAAGATCATGATAGGTTGCCGATTCTCTCAGAAAAATTACGGTTGACCATATAAATATAAAGAAAATCTGTTTTCTTTGTTTT